TATGTAAGTGTGTATATATATATACACACACATTTACACGTAAAGGTATGCAAGTCTATGTCTATATGTATGCATGCATGCATGCATGCGTGCATAAGTATAAAATCTACACACATACAAATGTGTATGTGTGTGTAAACTTACATACATACATACATACATACATACATACATACATACATACACACATACATCCATCCATCCGTCCGTCCATACATACATACATACATATTTACGCGCCTACGCACGTACGTAGCTACGTACATACACAGACCATTTTTGGATATCTATATATATATATATATAGATATAGCTATGGGCTGCGCAGCATCCGCCGCCCTGCATTTCTGCACTTTTCTTTTGTGAAACCAGCAACTGGTTTTGAAACCCACCGAAACTTTATCAACCCTTGCAATATTTATAACCCATGGATATCCTCGAACTTGGACCAAAGCATATAAACCACCATGTATGGTTTTGTGTCCAAGTCGAAACCAACATAAAATACGCAGTACAGTTTCTAGGTTTCTATGTATGATTATGGATGTTTCTCACACTGCTCGTTCCAGTACATATCATCCCCCGACGGAAGCCACGATTTCAGTGCGTTCTTGCCCAACTCTGCAAACCTAGCTTGGAGATCAACCCAGTCAGCTGCAAATCTTGATTACTTGCACCTATAATTCTAACTATCCATGCTTTCAGAATGCTGACCAAGTCAAACCCGTACAACGTTATGAATTCTACAACAACCTCGTCGAAACCCTGTTTCAAATTGCTAGATCCTCGCTTTGCAGCCGTCGGTACATTTTCGTATCTCACGCCTGTGTGACTGCTACTTGAACTCTAAAGAGTACAACGAAGGCCGGGCGAATCCGCTTGTCCACCAACGTCGTTCGCAGCAAGACTTCTTCGAAAGTGAAAGTATGCATGCATGTAAATACAGATTGCGAACGAACCACGCGGGGGCTTTTGTGAATCTTCGGTCTTTCGAGACTGAGGTCATGCAACAAAACATTGCAAAGCCACTGTGGTGTCAGCAAGGACAACTTCAGCGCGTACTCTCCAAGCTAGGTCATGTAAGGACAAAAGTCAACGTGCATTGCTTGCACTCTCGCGCATGGGTCGGAACTGACGTCTAGATCTGGAAAGATGCCTGGGGGAGCGGGTTTGCGAGGGGTTGAACTTTCCATTTTAGGGAAAGACTGACGGATCGCACAGGTCTGGCCTGGCGATACAGGAGAAATGCAACATACCGTTGCCAGTCTTGGTGTAGTTCTTGCTGTTTGTTTCTGTGGCTGTCTATATTTGAAACACGAGGCGGCGGTACAGGGGCTTGGGATGTCTATGTGTTTGCATCTGTGACAAAACACGAGTCGTGGAGACTGCGTTCGCTCAGCACTTGCCTCGAGCATGGCGTGCACGGTGCAACCTGACTTTTCGGAAGGGCAACCCAATCTGCTTCAGTGATCTTCAATGTGTGTATCCATGCCATGCTGCGGCAGCAAAGTCAGCTCGGTATACAATGACGGAATTGAGCGACGTCCTGCTCAGGTTGGAGATGGATGTTCCGCATACGCACCTGCAGACATCCTTGCATGACTTCGGCTTGAGGCATGTTTCGGATTAGTGCTTCTGTTCGCGTGGCCAGGCATGTGGAAGTTGGCAAGTTCATTGTCGGATCCCACTATGTCCATGGTTGCGACCATATGAACGACCAGAGCTTGTTCCACAAAATTGCCAAGGCAGATGTCTCGAAAGATGTTGATTGGTAACAACTTAGATTTAGATGTTTGGAAGGTGCACAGCAAGCGTTTGTCTGATGGTGCTGGGCGAATGTATCGATTCCAGTTGGCTGCGCAGGCCAGTTGTTGTTGCTGTTGCTGACAGAGAATTTAAGTTGTGCTTCGCTGTGACTCTGGCAGAACTTGCCTCACATGGGGCACGTCGCGCGACATGTCTCCTTCAACTTCAGCTACATGCCCATTGAGGCATATTGTTTGAGACAGGTTTATGGTGGCTTGTCTACATGTGGACGTGTTCAGGCACGCGAGACTCACAAGAAGTATCCAGAAAGACGTGCCCAAGCAATCTCGAATCTCGAGTTTTTCTTATGAATTCTTCACGTGACTTGTTCGAGGTACGTTTTCTGATCTACCTCCACACGATCGCAGGCAGTCCGGACGGCGCTGGTTGCTGTTCTCTGGCTTTTGCTCTGCTCAAGAGGCTCTTCGAGTTTCCGAAAATCCCCGGCCACAACCTGAGAATGTCAATGAGGTCGCAGTGCAGAAAGCATCTCAATTCTACGTACCTCAGCAAGCATGGCAATGACTTGGAGCATGACAAAGATGTGGAGTGCGGATACAACGACGATGCTCCTTGCCTTTGGAGAGCATAGGAGCATTTTTAAGATTCTCTTTGACAGCTTTGCAGCCGAGGTTTTACCCCTCCTACATCTGGAAACTTTGCCGGGCAAGGCTGGTCAAAAGTGGCTGTTACGGACGGGCTGCAACAGACTTCAACGAAAGCCCGTGTTGCTGCGCTTGCACACCAAGTCAAAACAGCCCATTTTTGGGCGTGTGGTTGAAGCATAGGCTCTGGCGGAAGGTACTGAGTCGATGTAGGTGGAAGTCGGCTTCGGAATCTAGGACTGGCTTTTCTGAAGCTGGAGAAAGTGGACAGTCTCTGCCATCGTGTAGTTAGACTTAGCTATGATCTGATCTGATGTGGTGTGGTATGGTTTGGTATTGTGTGGTGCAGCATGATATGATATGGCGTTCGCATGGCATGGTATGGCATGATATGATAATATAGCGGTGGGACATGATAGGACATGACATAGCGGGGCATGATATGACGTGGTATGGAATGGTATGGTATGACATGGTACGATAAGGGTGGTATGACATGGTGTCTTATGATATGGCATGACATGGCATGATTTGGCATGATAGGATACAAGTATGTTCTATGTAGGTAGGTAGGTAGGTAGGTAGGTAGGTAGGTAGGCAAGCAGCATGCATGCATGCTGCGATTCTGGGGCGGATATGGCCTGTGGGGTCAACAGCCCTGCTCAGAGTTTCGACCTACCAGTAGTCCCGGATCCCTGAACCGAGACATCTGTAAGCACGGAGTGACTCAAAGAGAGTTAGTAACGTCCTAACAGTCGGTGCATGGCAAACAACAACAGTAGTAGACTGTCGATTGGCTTCTCTGCATTTCTGCTTATGATGAGAGATCATATGTCTGGCCACCATTGCGACCGGCGTGATTGCGCCTCGGGGTCATGCTTGGCTCAGTAAATCTCGCAGGCCAGACATCCGGAAGCGTGAAGACTCAGAACGGCATCGTCAACTTCTCACCGCAGCAGGCCACGAAGCAGCAATGCCAATAAAAGTATGGAAACGTCCACATTCACATGACAGGTCTCCAACTTCGGCTGGAACTGGGACTTCAATCTGAACAATTCACAGGAGTGCCCTTTCGTGTCTTAACAGTCTGCACACGCCATACAAGTCGGAAGCAATCAAGTAAAGTGCCTGGCCCAGCGGCTTTCAAAGGACCATCATTGATTGCTGCCGTGTTGCTGGCTTTCGGAAGTGCGGAGTCCCTTGATGCTGGCACACGGTGCACCAGGAACCTTCGTTTACCATTGACCAGCCGGACACGAAGGGCCAGTTTGTTCTGAAAAACCCGTACATCCAGGCCTTGTCTTCGTCTGGGGTCTTGTCGTCTAGGCAATTCTCTTAGATTGTACGCACAAGTGCATAGTGGGATAGCACATTGAAAGAACGACAACTTGCAACCCTTTCTGATGTAGCTTCAGCATGTGTGATTTTGATCAACAGGCACACGCTGGATGCTTCCTCAACTTCACCTCGCAGTACGTAGGCGCTGATCCGTCCGTTCATTGCATCATCTTGCATCAAGGCCACAAGCGCAATACCGGGCCATCACGTGACTGCCCACACTTTCAACTGCCGATGTTGCAGGAACGTCTTGTCATGTAGGGCTCAAGCCGCTAGGGGCTAGGGTTCTTGATGGTTCTTGTGTTTAGGGTAAAAATGGTTTTGGCTGCTGATGCCGGTCTTTGTTCGGTTCGCGAATCACTCAGTGTTGCGGTTCTCGGACCAAAATCGCCTAAAACCCCTGGCAAATACAGTTCGGCGAATCGAGCTGCGCCACGGTCCTTGTGGCATGTTGAAATTCGAGTTTGTCACGTCCTGGAAGGGCTTGGGATGTGTAGCGGTGTGTAGGACATGGGCTGCCCTCTAATCTTCCGCTGCTGCTTGTGTCTACTCCAGCATGCTTGATGCGGTTTACGGATTGGAGACTGCTCGCTCGTGAGGCTTCATGAAACCCCCTCACGTCAAATGGCAAGCTGGCCTTAGGGGGCATGGCATCGTCCAGGCAGAGAGTTAGTTCAGTTGTTTCGTCGTGGATGTATCTGAACACAAACTTTCTTCGGGAGGGACGTTTGGAAGCCGCGATGAACTCCACACGCTCGGCGGACTTGGCGACTCCACCAGTTGCTGTGCGTCTCAGTGTCCACGCATCGACATGTGATTGGCACTCGCCAGGAAGCATCATCATACAAGTTGCCGGCAGAAGTTCTGGACATGCCAATCAGAAGTTGGGGCTTGATGCAGATGAATCAACTCGCAGGAAAATTTTCCATTCCTGCGGCTGTTGGCGAAGTTCGATAAAGTGAAATGGTGAAGCTTGCCCGGTTTGCTACACTTTGGACCTTTGGTGCCTGTGTGTTGCAGCATTGCAGCTGCTACATCTTGGCATGCCTGCCAGGTTTGCTCCCATGGAGCACGGCGTGGGCCCTCTGTGTTGAGCTCAGCTTCACTGAAACCGACCCGGTGGCCTTGCGTTGCGAGGTCCGCCAAGCACACACAGTGCAAGTCATGTTGTAGCCTTGTCTCCGGCCCAAAAATCTGAGCATTTATATCATCACAAGCAAACCTTGTGCCGAGCTTCCAGGATCTTCCAAGTACACGATCGTAGCATCTCGTAGCGATTGGGAGGCCAGCGAAGATAACGCCCGGGTTCCAATTCCAGGCCGTTCGACGGGAAAGAGCTGAGAGGCTTCCGAGGATAAACCGACCCCTCGCTTCGCAGGTTGAATTCTACCACAAGGGCCCCTTCAGCGGATTTTTATCTTTTGGTGGCAGGCATAGCTGCAGTCACGGACACTGGCTGCTTTAAGAGCACGTGCTCTTCCTATTTAGAGCAGTGTCCTGGTGCAGCACGCACGGCATCATGGAGCCAGTGCTGCACTACGATTCAGACAAGGCTCGCCTGCAACTCTGCTGGTCCCGCTGCCTGCTGCATCCTACTCGCCCTTCACCCGTGCAGGGCTTCGATCAGACTCTGAAGGGGTTGCTGCGCGACACCGATGTGTGGCCGCCTATGTACAAGGTCTTCACAGAGTCTGCAAGCTCAGCTTCCTCGCAAAGTCAGCCACCATTGGCCTTGGTGTTCAGTGTTCGGGCACGTTTGGGCTCAGTTGCAGTCAAGCTGAGGGCTTTCGAGATGGGCGTCAGATGCCAGCCCAAACTTTGGATGAGGACGTATCTTCGAGAATGTCTCTGCGTTGGGAATCAGTGTGGTTCGAAGATATGGGAAATGCAGGGGCGATTTCGCGGGCTTCGAAAATGCCGAAGCATGCTTCCACATCAACGTGTTCCAGTCAATGCCTGAGTCTGCGAAAGGCAAAAGACGGCTTTTACAATGCAACGTTGGCCCCTTGGTAACCACAGGAATGTGACGGTCTATCACGACGGCGCAGCTCACTTTGACGTGGATGCGAACAAGGAACAGCGCCTTTCACGAACTTGTTCAGTTGTATCCCGTTGGAGCTTTCTCTGCAGAGGCTCTCGTGATTTATCCGTTTCGGGTAGTTGGGCCGGCGACCGTCAACTTTGACACCAGGCGAGGCATTTCCGTGTTGGTGCGACATCATGACCGAACACGGAGGGGCGAAGCCTGCATCTCCCCCCGTCAGGTACAAGGTTCAAATCAGTTGCCTGGGCAAGGAAGTGGTGTCTGACGCGGCGATCAGCTGGGGAGAGGTCGAGTGCTCCTCTCAGTTCCGAAAGCCAACTCTGCATCCATCTCTGCATAGCTTGGTTATGGTTCTGCAGCTCGCGCCTAATGCAGGTTTCATGACCCTGTCTCAAAGTTCATCTTCGGCAATGCGACAGATGCTGAAGTCATGAATGCGGTGGTCAAAGTGACACTCATCCAGGTGCAGCCCCAGGGTCGTTAAATCTGGGTTGGAAGGAGCTACGTGGACAGGGCTGGTGGTCTTGTTCAGGTACACGGCAGCGAGCCCACCAGCCCTGTTACGACAATGGGTCAGAGCCAGGTTGCTTGGCACGGACCACTTCTCCCATCTGGTTAAAGCTGAGGTTCGTGCACATTCTCAATCACCAGCTGGACGCAACAAGGTGCCGATTTTTGTAAACAATGGAGGCAGTAGCAACAGAGTGTACTTGATCAGGCTTAACCGACCCTGATCCACGATGGTGCAACATACAGCACGAGTCTCGGCAATGCCGCACAAATCGACGAGTGCAATCGTGCTCCTGCGAGCTTGGCAGGAATGATGCTGGCACGTCGGTAGGAAATGTGCAGGTGTATGTGGTGCACAAGGCGGTGAACTGATTGCTGATTGAATCTTCTTGCAACGTGCTTCTGCTTGTGCTTCTCGCAGGCCAAACCGGAGGTGTACTTGGCCTCTAGAATTAAGGGCATTGGCATGTCCTTTCCGCGCATCACGCTGCAGCCTGCCTGGGTCTGAAGTCTGACGCACACTCAAGATGCCGTGCTCTGGCAGTGGCCATGGCCTAGGCAGCCATTTGCAGCACTTTCCCACAATTGCCCGCCAACGCAGCCTGGCATGTTCATTGATTGGGTCGGACTTTGCAGTTGGGCCGGGCATGCCGGGCTGTGCGTGTTCCGAAATGCCGCCAGTGCCCGCTCGCTCTGCATCTGACGATGGGCAACCGTGCAGTCCTCAGGCTTCAGCGGTTCGGGCGGCGAGTCATGCGGCAGCTGCAATGTCAGTGTTTTGCATGCAAACCCGCGGCAGACACAGCTTGCGAAGCCTGCGTAGATCAATGGAACCATGGGAGTCGAAATCCAGTCGCAACAGGAGAAGCTATTAAACATGCAAGTTCGTGACGCCTTATCGGCGATGGCATTTTCACACTAGTCCCGCGGACGAAGCCCATTGAAATGATCGAACAGAAGCGTGGGCAGACTGGCAGACTAGCAATGCATGGTCGTCCGCATGTTGTGTGCTTGAAATGCATGCGCGGAACAAAATCAGTTGAGTTGCGTCTCGACAGACGGATCTGGTAAGTAAATGGTAAGCTACATGAGCTATAGATACTAGAGTCTAACTCTTAATATCCCCGTTGACAAGCCCTGTAGCAGTCCCCTGCACAAGGGAGTTTAGACTATCGTACACATGGTGGTCCCGAATGCTGATGCAGCAGACAAGCCTATCTTTCAGTCCAGAATGGCGAAGCTCCTCGTGCAAGGTCGGTACAGTGCCGGCATCCAAAAGACGTTCAGCTGCTCGGAGACGACTCTGCCGCTGGATGTGGAAGGTAGCCTTGGCGCATTCCGTCTTGCCTTCGTGCCACTTTAGTAGCAGGCATAGTAGCAAGCATAGTAGTAGTAGTAGTAGTAGTAGTTGTTGTTGTTGTTGGCAGCACGTGCGTCTGCCGCCGCGCGGGGTGGAGCAAATTCGGGGCAGGCATGTGCCAAAACTCGAGTTTTGGCACGTTGGAGCACCGACAAAAAAATTG